ATATGATGAATAAGTGAGATGGAAGTTGTTATATTCATTTAAGTTTCTATACAAAATGAAAATGTTTTGGAGTCAATATATTTTCCTTTTTTTTGTTATTTTAGTATATAAAACATATTTGTTAAACTTTAATGAACGTAGAATAAGTATTGCATTGCTTTATATTTTTTGAAACGACTCATAATAATTTTAAAGAGTAAAACATTGTTTTAGTTCAATATTTTTACTTCTATTTAGGTCATGTCATAATGCATTTTTAGCGCAATTTTCGCATTTTAAGGGAATTTTTTGCACTTTTAAGGGCATTTTTTGCAGTTTATAAGGGCATTTTTTGCACTTTTTAAGGGCATTAATTGAGATTTTTTAGGTCATCAAAATCCAGGCTCTACTCATTACCTAACGATAAGTTTGGCTGCAATGTCCAGTTAATTTTCGTTTTTTACGGTTTTGAAACCATGTTAGTTTCAAATGGTTAAAGAAAACTGTATATTTTTGCATTCATGGTTTTTTAACCATAGCAGTTGTTTACGATTTTAAGATCGTAAAATCGTAAACAACTGCTAAGTTGTTTACGATTCTTTTACCTTTACCTTTAGGTAAAAAATGTTCTTTACCGTTAATTTTACTGTAAATTAGATGGACAGACTTCTGCCTGCTATTTTACTGCAATTTTCGAATGAAAATTTTAACAGTGTAACAGGAAAATAATACCTCGGTATCAAAAGTATTGTAGAATCATAACATTCGCAAAATTGAAAATAAAATCGATATTTATATTAAATGCATTTTCTAAATTTGCATAAATTAATTCTGTAAAGTGCATTATTAATAAAAAATGCAACACTGAAAAACCTTAATAAATCTTTATAGAAACAAAAATTTTATTTAGAGTAATTATTAATAAAAAAGTTCAGATGATGGTTTTACAAAGCATTAACTAAAAATATTTAATTTAATTTTAAAACTCCCATGCATTGTAAAAACCGTTAAAAATAAATAACAGCATTCATAAAGCTATGCGGAATAGCGTTTTTATTTCTCGGTCTAATTTTTTTTATAAGCACTAATCATACAGTTTAAATTTTTACGAAAAAAGAGAATGAATACAAAAAAATAAATAAAAAATTAATATTTACTTAAAACATAGAGACATTTCCAGAAATTTCCCCCATATTTTTTTCGGAAGTTAAATCGCTTTGCAGGATTTTTTACATTGTAAGTTACAAATGTTTCTGAATAAACACTTTTGTCTCTCATTGAAACAAGCAAAAAACAAAGATGATGAACGGAGACATCGCAAAAAATCTATAATAATCCGATTTAAGTATGAAACTTTTCACATATTGAAAAAAATCCAGATTAATATCAAATATCATTCTTATAACAGTACTAAGGTATTTTTTCTAAGTCATTAAAATTTGTTTCGCGAAATTTTTAAGTATTATTTAATATCTTTGAGACCAAACATCCTAAAAAAACAAATATTAAGGAACCTTTGTGATAAAAATAATTTTTGAAATAATTATTACGAAGCAGATTTAACCGATATTTAATCAAAGCATTAATTAAAAATATTTTATTTAATTTTGCATACATTGTCAAGCAGGTTAAAAAGTAAATGATAAATTGAGTACAGTCAAATCAACCATAATATGGCAAAATTTGCTGGGTGTCTGGCTCTATGGGAACACCAAAAGCTTGGTAATTTTTACCGAAGAACTTTGGCAAAGATTTTGGTAGGATCAGCAGTAATATATGGTTTTATAATATGCGACAAAAGTGGCTAAATGTAGTAAAATTTGATAATTGTATCATTATTCGTGGGGCATGGTATAAAAACCCTTTATTCGGCTGACTTTTCGGTTTTGTATTTTTTGGAAACTGCGAGGTTATAAGAACTATAATTTGTAAACCAAACTTAACTGTAAGCCGTTACGATATGAGCAGAAAATTTACCAGATGATAGTTTTAAATACTGTGTATTTTGGTTTTTAGTTGAAAGAATTGTATTTTTTACAACACTCATTGCTTTTTTTTTCAATACTCAATACTCATTTGAGAATAAGGTAATTTTACCACAATTGTCTTCTTCGTGTAGTATTCATGAACTTATGCAAAATAATTTTCATTTTTCTGTCAAATTTTTTAATAGACGCTAACTATCCGATTTTAATTTTCCAAAAACCATAATGAATACTAAGAATAAAAATTTACTTCAAAATTAAAAAATTTCCTTTTTAGGTAATTATTCAGGGGACTCAATTTAAAATTTTCTTTTCATTCGACAGCAAATTAATTTCAGGAAATATTTCTAAAATAAGCAAATATAAAGTGGAACTTTAAATCTTTAAAAGACTGGTTCAGTTATATTTGCAAAAATGCAATTCCCGGGCTTTAAAGATGTCGACAAACTAGTAATAACTAAGGAGAATTGATTACTTTTTGCTTAAGCAATTTCTGACGGTGTACAATTGCTGTATAGATTGCTTCAGCGATTTCACGTTCACTGCTTAAATGAATTCGAACTAGTGTTATTCAAATGATATATCCGTGGTGAAAATCACGTTTTCCATACTTGGTTGATGCCGAAACATCTGCTCCCGAAATTAAATTACAATCGGGAATTGAAAGGTTTTTACAGTAATTGCTATTTTTAGACAGAAAAAAAAGATAATTTTCTTTAAAGTA